AAGCTTTCCTAAAATTACATAACTAGTATTTATGGAGCCAGGATTCAAACTCAGGTCTATCTGATGCAAAAACTCCTATCTTTAAACACCTTCAGCCTTTGTGAAAGGCAAGCAGCCAAGAAAAATAATCTAAAATGTCAGTAACTATGTAAAGAAAAGTCCACCACCACTACCTGCATGTTACTAGTACAGTTATTCTCAAAGGGGTGGCCCATAGACCCTTAACAGCTTCTCAAATCTTTTCACGGGGTCATGGAGATAAAACATATTGTCATATTAATACTAAAATATTATTTGTCCCTTCTATGTTGACATTTGAACTTCTGGTGCAAAAGTATTTGTGAGTCTGTGATGAGACTCTACCTTACACCCACTAGGTGTAATTTTTAAATTTTTAAAAATGAAAAATAGGGGCACTTGGCTGGGTTAGTAGAGCATGCAATTTGATCTCAGGGTCATGAGTTTGAGCCCCACATTAGATGTAGACATTACATTTATTTATTTATTTATTATTTAATACAGTCTATTGTCAAGTTGGCTAACATACAGTCTATACAGTGTGCTCTTGGTCTGGGGGGTAGATTCCTGTGATTCATCGCTTACATACAACACCCAGTGCTCGTCCCAACAAGTGCCTTCCTCAGTGCCCATCACCCACTTTCCCCTCTCTCCCACCTCCCCTCCCCAACAACCCTCAGTTTGTTCACTGTATTTAAGAGTCTTTTAAATAACAAAATGGAAAATAACAAGTCTGGTGAGGATGTGAAGAAACTGGACCCCTCAACACATTACTGGTGAGAAGGTAAAATGCTGTAGCTGCTATGGAAAGCAGTATGAAAGTTCCTCAAAAAGTTAAACCTAGAATTGCCATATGCCTCACCATCACTGCTCCTCAATATATCTCCAAAAGAGCTGACCATACACGTTCGAACAAAAACTTGTACACAAATGTTCGTGGCAGCGTTATTCACAGTCGCTGAAAGTTGTAAACAACCCAGATGTCCATCAACTGATGATTGGATCAAAAGTGTGGTATATTCATACAATAGAATATTATTCGGCCATAAAAAGGATAGTGGTGCCTCGGTGTCTCAGTTGGTTAAGTGTCTGACTCTGGCTCATGTCATGATCTCACAGTTTGTGAATTCAGGCCCCGCATAGGACTTTGTGCTGGCAGCTCAGAGCCTGGAGCCTGCTTCGGATTTTGTGTCTCCCTCTCTCTCTGCCCCTCCCCAGCCTGTGGTCTCTCTCCTCAAAAATAAATAAATAAACATTAAAAAAAAAAAAGGAATGATATACTAATACATGCTAAATAACATAGATAAACCTTGAAAATCTTATGTTAAGTGAAAGAAGCCAGACACAAAAGGACACATATTATATGATTCCATTTATATAAAATGTCCAGTCTAGGCAAATCCATAAAGACAGAAACCAGATTAGTGGTTGTCAGGGGCTGGGTGGAAAGAGGAAGGAGAATAACTGTTTAATGCATATAGGACTTTCTTTGGAGGTAATGAGAATGTTCTGGAACTAAAGAGTGGTGGTGATTGTATAACATTGTGAGAGTACTAACTCTACTTTAAAATGGCTAAATGGTGAAGTGTATAGTTTTTAAAAATTAATTAGTTAATTAATTTTGAAAGTAAACTCTACTCCAACCTGGGCTGGAACTGACAACCCTGAAATCAGTCGTCACACATTCTACCCGGTGAGCCAGCCAGGTGTCCCAGGAATTTTATAGTTTAAAATTTTTACCACAATAAAACAAATGGGGGCAAAAAATGATCCTAGGTAAAACTGCTGGTGTCTTAGCACATATCAAGGCAGGGGTATCTAACTATCGTTGTCATTTTTACAGTTGCACACTCACAGTAAATAAATAAATGATTTTAAAGCCACTTTTACTTAAAAATGTCCTTAATGAAGCAGTAACCATTACTATCTTTATGAAATCTTACCCACTGAGTATACATCTTTTTGATATATAAATATAAATTAAAAATATATAAATTTTTATATAACTTTTACATATATACTTATACATACCTTAAATATAATATATAATATAATTTATATATTATATTTCTGTATAGATATCTATAAATATACATGTTAACCTATAAATAAGTATATATTACATATAACATAAATTATATGCTTATGTTTAATATATAAATATAAGCACATATTTTCTATACTTCTATGTAAATTATTGTATACGAATATTGTAAAACCTAGAGCAACCACTGTAAAAGCTATACAAAGAGATACACTCAAAAACACTATAGATAAATGGATAGATCGATAAATGTTCAATGTCATTAGTCATTAGGCAACTGCAAATTAAAACCACAGTGAGTGACCACTGCACACTTATCAGAGTGGCTAAAGTAAAAAATAGTGACAAGTGAAAGAAATCACTCTGAAAAGGCTGCATCTGGGAAAGACAAAGCTACGGAGACCGTATAAAGGTTAATGGTTGTAAAGGGTTGAGTGGAGGGAGGATGAACAGGCAGAGCACAGACGGGGTTTTTCAGGTGGTAAAACTACCCTGCAGGACATTATGACGAATGGAAACATGTCATTTGGATACGTTTGTCCAAACTCATAGACTCTACGCCACCAACAGTGAACCCTAATGCAAAGCATGGACTTGGGTCCATACTTGGGTCAATGTAGGTTCACTGATCACAATAAACATACCACCATAGTGATGACTGTGGGAAATGCTGGCGGGAGGGGGGTAGGGGGGTGGTATGGGAATTCTGTACTTTTTGCTCAGTTTTGCTCCAAATCTAAAAGTACTTTAAAAGAGTAGTCTATGTAAAAAAAAAAAAAAAAATAGATAGTGACAGCACCAAAAGCTCATGAAGATGCAGAGACGCTGGATTCCTCATAGCCCATTGTTGGGAGTGGAAAATGGCACAGCCGCTCGGCAAATCAGTTTGGCAGTGTCTGAAACAACTAAATGCTCAGCTAGCACAATACCCAACAATTGCTATTGTGGGCATGTATCCCAAAGAAGTGAAGACTTATGTCTATACAGAACCTGTATGGGGCACCTAGATGGTTCAGTCTATGAAGCATGGGATGCTTTTTTTTTTTTTTAATGTTTATTATTATTGAGACAGAGAGAAACACAGCATGGGGGGGAGGGGCAGAAAGAAAGGGGGACATAGAATCCAAAACAGGCTCCAGGCTCTGAGCTGTCAGCACAGAACCCGACGCAGGGCTCGAACCCAGTAACCTGAGATCATGATCTGAGCCAAAGTCGGATGCTCCACCGACTGAGCCACCCAGGTGCCCCCTTTTTTTGTTTTTTAATGTTTATTTATTTTGAGAGAGAGAGAGTGCAAGCCAGGGAGGGGCAGAGAGAGAAGAAGACAGAGGATCTGAAGCAGGCCCTGCGCTGACAGCATAGATGAAAGATCCATTTAATATGTAAGACAGACTGATGGATAATTCTGAACCGAGTACAAAAGTTCATTCATACCATTTCAAGTTCCAGTCACAACTAATCTTTAAGAAATTACCATTGTCAAGTTTTAATAAAATATTCAAAATGAATATCCACAATTACCTGAAAATATAAATATACCTCCCTTTTCCAACTACATATCTGTGTGAGGTTAGATTTACTTTACATACTTCAATGAAAATAATATATCACAATAAACTAAGGCAGACACATATGTAAGAATTCAGCAGTTTTCTATTAATCCAGACATTACAGATTTGCAAAAAAGTGTAAAACACTATCCCTTCCTTTGTAAATTTTCTTGTTTTGAAAAACAGAGTTATTTTTTATAAAAATATTATATGCTAACAGGTAAACATTGGGCTTATTACTTCCTAATGATTAATAAATACCTAGCTGTAAGTTTTCCTGTTTTGAATTTCTCATAGAGTAAGTTCTAATAAATGTGAGGCTCACAAACAGAAGCTCTTTGGGGCTCTCAATAACTTTTAAGAATGTAAAGGCTCCTGGGGCGCCTGGGCGGCTCAGTCCGTTAAGGATCCAACTCTTGATTTTGGCTCTGGTCATGTTTTCGTGGTTCATGACTTGGAGCCCTACATCCGGCTCTGTGCTGACAGCTCAGAGCCTGCTTGGATTCTCTCTCTCCTTCTCTCTCTGCCTTCCCTGCCCCCCACCAAAATAAATAAATAAACATTTAAAAAAGAAGAAGAGGGCACCTGGGTGGCTCAGTCAGCTAAGCATCCAACTCTTGATTTCAGCTCAGGTCATGATCTTGTGATTCGTGAGTTTGAACCCCTAGTCGGGCTCTGTGCTGACAGCTCAGAGGCTGGAGCCTGCTTTGGATTCTGTGTCTCCCTCTCTGCCTCGTCCCCACTTGCACTCTATCTCTTTCTCTCTCAAAAATAAATAAAAACTATTTTTAAATTTTTTTTTAAAAAGAAGAAGAAGAATATAGAAGCCCTTGAGATCCAGAACTTGGAGAGCCACTGTTCTAGGGATTAAAAGTTTCCTTGTTGATCACAGTTGCATATTCAAACAAATTCTAAACCCGGCTCACATACTGAAGGGCCTATGTAAGAAAACAAGAGAGAGGCAAGCTTTGGCGAGAGGGACACGTGTTCTTGGAGACCAAGGGAGCTGGCCTACTGCCCCTATATGGGGACAGGATGACCCAGAAATGGCCAAATCATTCCCATTGGGTGTTTCCAGTGGGTTCCTAGGCAATCACTCTTAAGGCCACTCCACTTGGCCCCCAGAGGGAAGGATCAGGAATTTGGAAAGGTATGTCTGGTTGTTACACTCCTTTTTGTGGACGATATACTTCCAGAGGAACCCGAATTACTTCCCCTCTTTTAAAAACAAAACCACAAATATTTCCCCAGTTAGGCTTTTAACAAAATAATGATTTATAGTATATCCAGCTATTTACAGAGAAGATCCATTTATAGAAGAACAAGGCAGTTGTAATATATTTTAGGTGAAATCCATGATGAAGAATCCTTTGTAATTTCATTTGCTAGCTGTATTGTTGAGTTAATCTTCAAAATGCATGCTGCTAAAAAGGAAAAGAACAATTGACGATTTAATTTTTAAATTTCAAGACTGCCATTTAAGTGAATCACAAGTCTAATTTTTAAATGAAGTGCCATCAACAGGCTCCTGGCATCCCTCCCAGCTGGTGGGCTGCCCTAGCCCAGTCTCCAGGCAGACTCACTGGCCTGGCAGGCTCATGTAATTCAGATGCTCGTATAATTCACAGCGCCGCCTCAGATAGAAGGGCAATCTGTTTGAAGACCTAAACTAGATCTGTAGGTTCTGTTATCAGTGAACTAATGGTAGAAATGCCTAGACTGAGGAAAATATAAGTTGATTTCTTGCTCTCTGGAATACAGTGGTTAGGTGCGTGCGTGCGTGTGTGCGTGTGTGTGTGTGTGTTTACCTAAAGACCTTACCATGTCCCCGGTACTTTGATAATTCTCCCCTTTCTTGATTCTCTCTCTCTCTTCTTTTTATCATTTTCTTTAACTCCTTCTAATGTTTGCTTCATAAATCAGCCCTTATAAGAGCACTAATTTCCAGTTTCTGGAAGAATAACCTGGCAGTCCTATCCACCAGCTAGTACGTCCTCTCTTCTCTAACCATGGCTCCAACCTTCAAGTGTATCCCTACTGGCCCAGGGTACCATGTCTGCAGGTGCAGCGTCCATCACATTGGCCTACCTGGTCATTAGCTGATCTGTCCCTTTTATTTTGAGTCATAAAATAAGCTGTAAATACATGTTTAAAAAGCAAACACAACAAAACACCTGTATACATTTTAAGTACTTTTCTAATAAGCTTGTGAAAAATAATCGGGCCACTGCTTTACGATTAGCTGCAAACAGTTTCTGATGTTGGGGAAATGAGACAGCAGTGTATGAGAATAAAATTATTTGCTTTCTGTTCATTATCACTGTCCATCTTTTGACTAACTTTGCAAACAAATTTAGTGTCTCAAGACCAATTTGTCCACTTCAGAAAGTCATAATCTTAAAACAATATGTTTTGAATAACGATTTTTCTTAAAAAAATATGTACATACATACTCTTGATTTAGCCAATTGCAGAATCTCTACTTTCAGAGATATCCTGTTTGGGCCTGGTTTTTCTCTTTCCTAGTAATTTTCAGAGACTCTACTCTGAATGAAATAGAACTGGAAGAATTTTACAGCTTCACTTTTAAACAATGTGCAGATGTTATGCCATTTTCCGTGTATTCTTTTGTGTGAGAATATGAATCTGGATATGAAACTCTGTGTGTTCTGCTAGTGTATGTGTAGTGGGTGCTGGGGCTCGATCTTGTCCTTCAAAATGAGGGCCTTCATGCAGGACATGCCCTTGCCACGAAGGGCTCTGCCTTTTCCATTCCCAGGGGGTAACCCCCATCCAACAGCTGTTGATGTGGAGGAATACAGTGGCCTGGCACCCTTGCCTAAATCAGGACACTATCCCAGCTCCAGAGCTCCTTTTGTGGGGCTGAGGCTCAACTACAAGGGCACCACAGTGGAATCTCGCCCTCTGCCCTGCCCAGCTTCCCTCACTCCTTTACTCCCTTTCTCTGTGTTGCCGGGAGCACTCTCTCGTGGGGAATCCAATCTGAGACCTTCAAGAGTCTATTGCCATTTTAGAGACCGTCTGAGGCAAGACTTTAAACCCTCTACTTGAAAATCTGGCCTCATGGTTAGTTACTGCCCATGAAGCCAGAATGAATTGGAACCTTTTTTAATGGGAAAGCCTCACACATGCCAGCACTCCCTTCCAACAAACCTGAGCTCAATTACCCCTAAAAGACCCTTAGAACAAAAACACTTATGACCTGTCCTCTCTACCAGGAAGGTTGGATGTTTTGGCTAAATCAGTTTTGCCTTTCAGAAGAGTCACAGACCCTCAGCCCAGAAAAATATACAACCACACACAATTTTACATACAAGTCCAAGAGCATAGAAACTCCTTCCCAAAAGCCTTCAAGGATTCCAACTCCAGAACCATATAGCGAAGGTAACAGAAATGCATAGTTTCAAAGCTGTTATGCAACATAAGGAATAAAGAGAATTTTTTAAAAGTATATAAGTCTTAATTCTACTTCAATGATTTCATCAGTAGGTTTTGAATAAGCAAATATCAGATTCAACTTACATTTTCCAGAGTCATGTCTGGCGTATTTGAACTTGTCCTCCCACGATATCTCTTCCTGGTACAATAGACACTGACGAGGGTGACTATCAGCATCACGGCAAACACGGTAACGGTAGAAGATACAGCAATAACAATGGTGTCCTGGGTGGAGCCTCTCCTCTCACACCTTTCGCCCATGAACCACCAATCTTCCCCTGACAGACACCTGCATGTTGGAACGTGACCCAGAGTTACAAGTTGATATTTCAGTCTGAAAATCTTCACCATTAAAGGTGTGGGTCAACATTCGGGTCATTGGCATGTGGAACTCAACTGGAGGGGAATGGACAGACTAGCTCCAGGACGCCAGGCAAGGCCAGTGGTAAAGACATGGCTCATCTGGTACTTAAAGTAGTGGCACAGAGGTGGGAAAGGAAAGTGGTGTAGGTAACGGAGAAAATTTAGTTCTCACTGTCTCAGTCCCTTACCCCCACCCCCTACCCCTTGGCCAAACTCATCCCAGAACTTCTCAAAACTATCTCCATCTAGAAAATAAGAATAGTCACACTTTACCACACCAGACTGTTGTGAGGACTTAATAAGGTATATAATTCATGAGGACTTTTCCAGGCAGTTACAATATAATGTACTATTTCTTCATAAATAATTTTATTGTTCTTGCGGCTATCGAAAGTCCCAAATGGAAACCAAAAAATAAATATCCCATGAATGGCTTTGAGATGAGAATCAACTGATTTCTCTCACAGGAAATATCAGTATTTATTCCTGCCTTGTGGAAATGAAAACATTTCTAACAAGAGAATGGGAAGATCTTGTCCAAGTGACCCCTTACCTGCACTCAGCCTTGCCATTCTGGACAATGCAGATGCCTTCATTCTCACATTTGAAGTTTGTGCAGAGGTCATTGATGTTAGAGGTTGGGATTGGTGGAATTTGTGTAGAATTAAGGTGTGATATGTCTAAGGAGGGCAGAGGGAGAGCATGGATGGAAATCAGTTTGACTTTAACAAGCATTTGATCTTTAAGTTTCAAAATAGATGCTTAGGTTTCCCAGCCGTTGAAATAATGAATAGTTCTAAATCTAGATGCAGATGGGAACTGAACCAGCCTTTGGGGTCATCTACTGAGCCACATGCTTGCCTGGGCTTGGGCTTGCCTGAGCTAGAAAGAGCCTAAGCCCTTATACCACCCTTAAGGGACAGACATGAAGACCAAAGCACAGAAGTACAAAGTGACTGATGGGCTTGCCCAAGGTCTCAGGATTCTGGCTCAGGGGAGCAAGTTGGTGGCTATCTGACACGAGCTACCAGGTGCCCCTAACAACTGGGGCTCTGGTCCTTGTAGTGTTTTCTGTTGCTTCTCATCCAAACAGTGTTGAACTGAATTGATGAATATGTGACTTTTTTCTCTGCTACATAAAATGGTTTATCCCTCAACAAAGTTATTCCTTTTTTTTCATTTTTAAAGATCTTTTCTTTTAATGTTAATTTATTTTTGAGAAAGACAGCTTGAATAGGGGAGGGGCGGAAAGAGAGGGGGACAGAGGATCTGAAACGGGCTCTGTGCTGACAGCAGTAAGCCCGATGCAGGGCTCAACCTTGTGAGCTGTGAGATCATGACTTGAGCCAAAATCAAGAGTCAGACGCTCAACTGACAGAACCAACAATCAGGGGCCTCTACCATCCAACTCTTGATATCAGATTCAGGTCATGATCTCGCAGTCATGAGATCAAGCCCCACATTGGGCTTCATGCTAAGTGTGGAGCCTGCTTGGAATTCTCTCTTTCTGTGTCTCTCTGACCCTCTCCTTGCTCATGCCCTCTTTCTCTCTCAAATCAATAAATAAACTAAAAAAATAATTCATGGATTTTAACTGCACCACCTTTCATCAGAAATGAGATTCTGATTTACAAACATGTATATTTGTGTGCTCATATATATGTATATATGTGTGGATATATATTTGAAAGACACAATAGAGACAGTTCATTTCCAGTTTCATTTCATGTGATTGTGTGATATTTCTCTTTCTGGAACCCTAGGGTATAATTCTAAGGTATAGTAGTTATACTTTAATTTATTCCTAAACAAGATTTCTGGCCTAGCTTTTCCATTGCTCCATGTAGAGGTAATTAAATTTTTTGTCCTGGAATGGTCACTGTTTTTATTTAAATGGCTTTTCTATTGTTAATGATTCATACCAGAAAGAAAAAAATCCCGCTCATGCCCATTTCCTCCTATACATGAAAATGGAACCCAGAAGAATGCAGTCAATAATCAGTGGCCACGACAACAACAATGAAAATAGCTTACATAAAACTATTTTTACTGACATACCTTCCACTGTCAGTAGGATATAAACATCATCTCCTTTTATAAAATCTCTGCTTTTCAGCCTCTTGTAGGTTATAAAGGCAGTGGTTCCAAAGCCCATACCTCTTCTAAACTCAGTTCCATTAGGGAAATAAGCCACTAATCCCACTTTGGATGGCCTGTCCCAAAAATAGTTTCCATTATCTGAAAAAGCAATTTATAGTAATGGATTGTGTTTAGTATCATCATAGCTTTTGGTGGTAGGAAAGAACGGGCAATGTGAAACATAATTAGGATAGAGCTCCAAATAATTAAATGATGCTATTGACCTGTGATATATTCTCTGGCAAGTCACTGAAGCTTGCTCATATGTACTGTTCTAAAGAAAATGAGATTGCCTGGCAAGGAGGACCACATTCTGGAATCTGAGTGGAGAAATACCAGAAGTTTCCTAGGCACGATATCACCCCATACTTACCAGCAAAGAAACTCCCTCTTCGTTACAATAATTTCTCAGTTGCTTTGAGTCATAGATAGTCCTTTTAACTAAGTTAAATTTAAACCATCAATACATTTCTGAGAGAGATTTTTTTAATTGTATTTTTTAAGTAATCTCAACAATGTGGGGCTCAAACTCATGAGTCCGAGATTAAGAGTCACATGCTCTACCGATTGAGCCAGCCAGGTGTCCTGAGAGAGTTTTTAATATTAACATAGAACAATTCATCTCATTCACTGAATTATTCACCTAACAGAGCAAAGTCCTTCTAGAAGACAGTGAGAAGCACTGCTTCTGGGGAAAGGTGATGACCCACCCAACTCTGAGCCATTTTCAATGTCATTCAGGCAAAAATATTTAGGAAATAAAATATGAAGAAATTCTGAACATCAAGTCCCTACAATCCTCTTTGTGAATATTTTTTTTCCCTAACAGATTAATGACTTTTCTTTTTCCTATGTCACTTAGGTCTATTTTTTTTTTCATATATAGAATTCAGATTTGGCAATAATATTCACCTTGCCATAATTTCATTTTTTATTAGGCTCCCAGAAGGCAAGGGATTATTAAAATTAGAAATGTGATCATTGCCTTCTGGGAGCTGTTCCTTTTTGAAACTGAAAAGATGGGGAATGATGTCACCATTGGCGAGCCCTGTAGAACTCTTTAAGAAGTTAGAATCCATTCTCACAGCCTCCCAACACTCCAGAGCTCTTCCTTCTCATCAGAAACCATCCCCTTCTACAAGAGCTGAATTGTGCCTGACAGCCCCACTGTACTGCTCCAGTTTTACTGCTGAGGAAACTAGGGCTCCAAAAGACTATTTGCTCAATATCACATAGCTAATAAGAAGAACCTTGGATTTGAACAGAGGCATGCCATTCAGCCAAAGCAACACTCCTTGAACAACTGGTAATTCAGGTATGGGCAACTGCCAGGAATAAAGTCAGTATCTTCTGTATTTTTCAGAGACAGTGCCTATTGACATTCCTCACAGTGGCCTGAGTGGAAGACCCTGTCCACAACGGCCAAAGCCATTCCCCTCAATATCTTGTGCTCCTAAAACTTGAGGCTCAAAAACTCCCTAGGTACCTGCCTGTGCAGTCCCTCATTCCCAAATCATCCATCCCTCCTAAAGCAATGATTGTGTATTAGCAATAAAGGAAATAAGTCACGAACCGGTGGTCATAAATGGGTCTGTAGTTATACTCCGCTGGTTGGACATACGCTGTCGAATGTCAGGATTTTGATCCAAGAGTGTCATCGTGGCTTGTTGCCAAGGACATGGCCATTGTAATTGATCATCATTGGCTCCAGAGATCAAGTGGAAATATATTCCTGCATTAGTCGAATGACTCAGATTCAACTGAATCTGGAAGGCATAACCTTTAGAAGAATAAAATGGAGGGCTATATATAGTTTCTCTTGAGCTGCCAATAAACTGTGTGAAATTCTTTATATGCCAGATATGATGAGGGCACTGTGTTTCTGAAAGATTGATGTCATCAATAGACAGGCCACCCACTGATGCACCAGCGCCTCTGACCCCTCCAAACACCACTCTAAATTTGTTGGTCACTTTCAGTGTTACATGGTAAAGTTGCCAGCTTCCGGTGGGTATATCTGCAAAAGAGACATTATTATTTCAAAGAAAACAAAGGACTACAAATCATGTGCAAATCAACACGTAGATTATCACCATAGAGCTATTGATTCCTACAGGTCTGCAATGTGTTTCTCTCACTTCTCCAGCCCGGGTCCACTCACTTCAAGGTATTTCTGTGGTGTCAAACTGCTCCCTGGGATATTTGAATATTTATCTACTTGTTACTCAGATAGGTCACCTGTTCCCAGTGAAGGGTGAGCAAACAGCATCTAACTTATGAGTATTCCATGCCCTAAATATGAGTTGCCTTCCATTCTATGTTAATTAAACCCAATATCTACACTTGTGCCCAGGATTCCTGTGATATAGCGAAAGCCTTATTTAATGTATTTGTAGTTTGATTGAAATAATCCCTTCACATGCAAAATTTTTGGTAGTATTACACAGAAATCCACCAAGCCCTGGAAAGCCCATATCCACAATTTAGTCCTTAGATCATTTACCAGTGACTCAACATTATAAATATTTATCTTATATTTGATACCATCATCTTTCTTCCCAATGCATACTTCCCCTTTCACCATCATCCCCACCCCTTAGCTAGCAGCATAGGCTACGCTATCTTGTCTTATTTTCTTATATCACATACCCAAATAAGAAGTGATTCATTTTAAAAATTTCAGAAGCCCCCACGTAGAGAAAACAGCTCAGGAATTCATGTCGAACTAGTAGTTAACACAATGACTTAAAACTTAAATGTATTGGCACTTAATGTGAAACACAATTATGCGAAAATAAGATAGAAGTATCCAAATTACAGAAAATACTATTATCCATGGATAGACTCTAGATTGAACAAAGATCTTTCATGAGAGCTTCCACTTCATTATTATCAGTACTATTCATTTAAATTCTGTTAAATTCTTACTCCTAAGCAATTTTCTTAAGTACCTTTTGTGCTATGGTTTGTTAGTGATAGCATCCACCCACAGACAGTTAATGGAAAGGATTAAATATATACTATATATATATATGTATATATATATAAAATCTTGCATGTGGAATTGTACAGTACATGTAATTATATGTTATATATGTACAGCATGTGATATACATGTATATGTATATATAAAATGATATTAAAATCTCGTAGGTGTTCATGAAAGAAAATGTCATCTGTGTTGCATATTGTTTCCCTGTTCATACTGTTAAATGGGAGGAAAATGGTATGACATATAGCATAATGTAGATCGATTTTATAATAGTTTTACTCAATTCCTTCAAACCAAGTGGTCAATATGTGGGGCAGAGAGTAATAGAGTTGGCAGCCCACAGCCCCTCCCTTCCTGAAATTTCTTAACCATCTGCTTTTACAGCTGGTCAACATGACCCCTCTTTCTGCCACATGATTGGAACAGAGTGTTACCTTCTCTCCATTCAGGGACTGCTCCAGAAGTTGCACTTAACCCAAATCATAACAATTCGAATTCTTCACTGGGCTTTTTTTTTTTTTTTCAAGCTAGAAATTAGAGGAAGTGTCCCTTTTCCAGGCTAATGGCACATCTGATAAACTGTAAGCTGGGAAATAAATTATCCAAGGCACCAGTTTCGTGGCCCAGGCCCACCTGAGATAACATGAGAGGTCCCCAGCCATGTTCAGGGATGGATCCAGTCCTGCCCGAAGCCAGTTCCTTCCTTGTCCATCCCACTATTTCTTTACATTCAGTAACTCTTCTCATGTTGCCTAGTTTCCATTGTATTTTTAGTACTAGCCAAGAACTGAGCTCCTCAGTGCCAGAGACTTAAAGAACTAAGATGCCTCATCTGGACCCAGACAATAAGAATGTCGATATTGTACCTTTTATTTCTTCCACAAGTGTTAAAGTACCATTCACGTTGTCTGCAGAATACTCCCTGATGTAGATGTTCAGTTGGTCATTTTCACTTCCACTGTTATATAAATAAAACTGCAAGCACTGAAACCCTCTTTTAGGGTATAATGTTCTACTTTCCAGCATGGCCGTGGCCCCCACACTTACAGAGCTACTGTTGAAATGCATGAAGAAACCAGAACCTGTTAAGAAAACAAAGGCAGAATTGAGAGAAAACAGATACTAGTCATAGGAATGCACGTATTGTGGGCACAATAGTTCCCCCTAGTCCCTGCTGTGGGTAGAACACTATATTGGGCATGTAAACACAGTTCCAGGACCAGGCAGTTTATAAAATAGACATTAGGCCACCTTTTCCAAACTGTAGCTTTCAAAATTGGATAAAGGTGTCACCTACCTGGTCTAGTCTCTTTCTTTTTCTCTTTCTCTCTCTCTCTCTTTCTCCCTCCCTCCTTTCCTTTCTCCTTCCTTCTGGCCTATGGAAGACCACTACTTACTATCCAAATCTGCATTTTACTTTTTTTAATGTTTATTTATTTTGAGAGAGAGACAGTGAGAGTGTGAACATGAGTGCTGGAGGGGCAAAGAGAGGAGAGAGAATCCCAAGCAGGCTCTTTGCTGGCAGAGCAGAACCCGACACAGGGCTTAATCCCACAAATCTCGAGATCACAACGTGAGCCTAAATCAAGAGTCAGATGTTTAACCGACTGAGCCACCCAGGTGCCCCCCAATCTTCATTTTAAAAGAAAATTGTATTTTTATTGACATACATTTAACATGAAGCATTGTGTAAATTTAAGGTGTATGACATGTTAATTTGACACATTTGTATATTGTAGTATGACTGCTACTGTAGCAATAATTAGCAACCTCTAACATGTCACATATTTATTATCCCTTTTTGTTGTAGGAATAATTAAGTTCTAGTTGTTAATCAGTTTGATGATTAGCATATAATATTCCTGTCTACAGTTACTACGCTGTGCATTAGATTTCCAGGGCTTATTACTACTGATTGCAAGTTTGTACCCTTAACATCTGTCTTCTCCTCCCTCCTCCCACGCCCTCCCACCACCCTCCAAGAAAGAAAAGGAAAAAGAAAAGCACTTTTGCTGTTAGGGACCTCAACCACTGCCTACTGAGAGCTGAGCTCTCAGGCAATGACCCTGAGTTCTGAAGTCTAGTTTTACATCTTTGTGTCCAGAAGTGAGCAAGTAAGTAAAAATTGAGCACTTGTAGCCAAATAAATGACTATTTAATTTAAAACAAAATTATGATGGAAAAGGATACTCATCTGAATAAAATTAAATCAATTGTACTTTGACTATTCATTTTAAGGATTCTTGTAACAGGAGCATGTAATCATAACCAGCTGGAATTCTGAAACTGATTAATTCACAGCCTTGTTCCATTTACTGGAAAGTCTCTTGTATCTTTCAAGCTTTGAGAAAACCACCCCACTACCCTGTAGATAAGAGTCTTTCCAGAAGGTACAGTCCCCTCCTGCTGTGGGCACATACAGGTAGAGAGGCTTCACAGAGCCCAGTTCTGACTCACAGAAGGACAAGTCAAGTCAGAGAGTAAAAGCAAAGAAATGAACCACATCCTTATAAGGCACAGAACTGTTTCCTTAGTAGCAGCCAAATGGGTTATCATTAATAATTCAGATAGAAATTAGAGACAAAATCCCAGTCTTTCGTAGCAAGGAAAAATGCTGGAGCCACCAAGTGTAAAATCTAGACATATCTCACTCCTGTTACCTTTGCACCGGCCCATGTTGGAGTGATCGTTCTCCGGCCCCCTGGGAACCTGGGAAACCCGCTGCCAGTCAGCATTATCACCTGAACTTTGAATCATACCGCACACATTTTCCAGTTCAAAATTGCACGAGTCCATAAAGCTCAAGGAAGTGGCTACCAAAGCAAAAAAAAAGGAACAAACCCGATAATTATTGACATACCTACAAGATAATCTAAGTAATAAAAACTGTTATGGAAGTACTAGAATGCCAGGATAGCATTATAGGGGACACCTCGCTGATTCAGGGGGATAGTGGCTTGAAGACCTCTTGATATCTGCAAACCCAAGAGCTTGATCAGCCCTGTGTATCTGAATAAGCTGCCTGCCCCATGTTGTTTTTCTTTAATTATCTACCTTGTGGAACCTGAGTCCACACTTTTCTAGTTATCCAGATTATTAAGCTGCAACCCAGATTATAAGATCCCAATTACATAATGGCTCCTCATTTAAAAATCTACATAGGACCCAATTTGTTTGTAGATCTGAAGGCCAGGACTTCTAAGGAGAAAAAAAGTGCTTCCCAGGTGTGGATTGGGATTTGGGTGGGTTTATGTTTGTTATTTTTTTATATCAAACTTTATAAAGCTATACTTATCAAACAACGATGAAACCATAATTCCAGAAGAGCCAGCAATACTCAGCAAAATCACACAGCACATCATTTTCCCCTCCAAGGCAGAGAGACACAGAAAGCATTTCAAAGAACCTGCCACTTACAGCAGTTATACAGCCGATTCAGCTTTAAGAGATCATAGTCGCTGAAATCCATTCTCTGGCCGATCACATCCATGAAGTCTGAGATTCGTGTTATAATTGTTGGTTCCGTTCCATTTTGGAAAGCCGTCTTACTGTAGTGCATTACTGACGTGTAATCATAAGGAACATTCAAGGAGTCGGATACTTGGTCATCGTAGGTGTTAAAATTGTGCTCTCTGCCTAAATGATAAATTTAAAAAGATCTTTAATTACTCGATGTTCACAAAATTTAGCTTCTCTTGCTCTAGGCTTACATTACTGCCCAAGATTGGACACTAGCATTTAGTGTAAGACTCTAAATAGAAAGGTAAATTCTGAAAGGTGTTGTTGACACAGTCAGGGTCACTGGCAGGTGCTGATGGGAGGGTGGGGGCTCCCGAAGCAGATGGCGGTGGAGATCAGAGGACATGGGGAAGTGTGGTGGGAAGGGACTTAGGAATGACAACATAGACAGGAGTCTTTAGAAAGAACTGACATAGTCAAGGATTTCTCAGTCACTGCAACATGTGTGCAAGTATTTAAAATGAATAAATGTAGAGAAGATACCTAGTTGTTTAGCCTCACACTCATGGGCAACTGGGTGCTACTTGAAATGGGATGATTTGGGGGGAAACAGTGAGGTAGATCTGATCTCCAAAGCTTCTAGGTGTGTTATCAAATCTAGGCAGAAGTTTCTATCAGAATAAGACCCAGGGAATCTTAAAGAATGAGATGATGGATTAAAGCTAAACACTTCTCTTGATTCAGAAATCTTGTAGTCCACTGCTGGGCCTCACCCCAGCTGAGATCACCAGACAATCAATATCACTGAGCTATGATGTGCAGGGGTCTCAGTACACAGCAGCCCCCACAATGCCTCAGATGACGCCAATCCCACTCCCTCCGCCATATCCTCTGCAGGCAGGACAGATGGGGAAACTAAGGGTCCCTGTGGAAAAATGAGCTTTAGTTGTCCAATGTGATTAAGACATTTCTGACTTGGAGTAGAAAGTCCCAAAAAGTTCTGGCTGTTCAACTGCTGCAGTGTCTCCCAGGATGAGCTCCACAGAACAACAAAAACCACAAATACTCCAAAAAAAAAAAAAAAAAAAAAAAAGAACGATGATCAAGTCACTTCAGGAAATGCTTCTTATTTGGAGATTTACAGTATGTGTTAATCTAACGGAGACTCTGAACAGTAAAGCAGTATCCATAACTCCAGTTTAATTCATTTTAACCTAGGATTTCCCAAACTAGTTGGACTACAGGTCTCTTCCACACAACATCCGGGAGCATTTGTGGGACAGCAGGACAGCACTCCATAAAATGTGCTTTGGGAAACACCAGTTGCTTAGATCCTATCCAGCTCCAAAGCGCCGGGGGGTCTGGGGTATTAGCACCCTAACAACCTTTGGGAACTTGAAATCATGTACGTGAAGTAAAGCATCACATCAGTTTTCCAATTATTAACAGTTGGCAGGAGATGGCTCATGCTTAGAAATTCAGTTTTTAACCAAAAATGTAAGAAAACAAAGGAAATGTACCTGACAGAATTCTGTTCCACATTATCATGACGTAGTCATCCCGATCGGAACGAGACTGCTCGTGCCAGAACCCCAGTGCGTGGAGGAACTCATGTTGAACTGTCGCTATTCTGTCACAGTTCGCCCCGATGGAGAGTTCTTGCTTCCCAACATGCCTGTTTCCCACTGAAGACCAGCAGCTTACAGGAGAGTTCACAGGACAGGGGGAGAGGGTGTTCTCATGGTGCAGGCTGAGGCCTCCGGGCTCAATCCCCGGTGCCCAGGCCCCTCATGTAACCCACCTACGTGCCTCACCCTTTTATCAGGACACTGCGTCCCTCTCATAACCCCAGTGAGGTCTGAACAACCTGACAGGCCAGGGGACTTTTGGTCCCGGCACCAAATATTACATGGGAGCAAGGCAACCCCCCATCAACCGAGTCCTGATTTTTTTCTAGAAATTTCTAAGTTGTTCACATGGTCCTTGGTATGTTGATGACCACTCATAAAGTTTTATAGGTATAGCAACCACATGGAATTGCTGAGCTCCAAGCAAATAACTCTTGTCAGTGTAACTCAAGCAATAAGTGCAGTTAGGTTACAATAAATTGAAATACGGGAATCTGCCCCGAAACCAAGAGCAAGCACACTATATACAATGTATGTTAGCTAACTCGATAATAAATTATATTAAAAAAATAAAAAGTTCACAGACTCAGGACTTAGCCATTCCTCCAGCTGAACCCGTTTCTTCATCTGTATAATGGGAGATAAAACCAGTACCTATCTTGCAGGTTAGCGCTGAAGATTAAATTAATACTTATAAAGCTCTTAAAATAATGCCTGGAGCAATTGGGTGCTACATGTTTTGAATTACACAGTGAAATAAAAAATATCCAAAGCCTTAAAAAAATAAAATAAATATGTGTGCACACACATATATGTGTGTACATGTGTTTTACTGAAAGAGGGAAATAAAAAGTATGTAAACAACAAATGGTTGAAGTTCACTAAGTTGTGGGATGGAAGGCATGCAATCCTACCCTCCTTGTCTTAAAATGGGTAGTCTGATTGTATGCATGAAAATATTTTTATGGCTAGAGAAACTAGAAGTAATTCGTCTTTTACTGTCCAGCAAACAGCTAAGGAAGCCCCCACCCACCCTCAAGGTCAGGGCTAGGGCAATTGTTGTGACAGGCCATCGCTGCAATGCATTTGAACCCTTAGAAGACAAACTCTCCACCTTACCCACTGCCCTTGAACACTGATATATAGTTAGCTTCTCCAGTCCAAGGCTTGAAGTCAATGCATGTTTTTAGGCGATAGCGTTCAAATGCATTAAGGATAACTCCCTTAGCATTCATTTCTGAAGGAAGAAAACCAACAAAAAATACACTTATTAAAATGATCACCATTGAGCAATTCACCATGGAAATAGGCTATGTAATATATTGTTTATCATGAGTTAGACCCTTCATGAATGTTTAGTGTTTTATTTGTACCAAATTTAGTATTCAGTCCCAATCAAGTATGTATTGTATACAAGTATTTGATTCTTCTTCAGATCCTTGATTTTGCCCCATATTTATTTCTTTGGAACCATTAGAGGTGCATTACTGAACAAAAAAAAAAGACATTTCCTTTACCTCAGAGAACACATACCTTGGGTCACAGGCACCCAGAATGAACCATCACTGTCACATGCTTCATCTGAGAAGTTACAGTATTTATTTAAAGCCTCATAGCAGAGCTTTTAATTTGAGAACCTTGAGATAGGAGTCCATGAATATGCTGGGATGGTAGTTGTAGCATCTATATCTGTATTTATATCATCTGTATCTATTCTGTATCTCTATCATCCATATGTATATCATCTATCTATTTATATCTGATCTGTATCTGTCTATACCTCTATCCGCAAAGTGCATTTCCTGGGGAGACTGTTCATAAGATTCTCAAGTGAGTTCAGGACCCAAATTAGAGTTAAGAACCACTGATTCAGAATTAAGAGTGATGCTAATGGGTTGGATGGATAGAGATCAAAAAAGGTAGAGGCATGAAAGCAACAAAGACATTCAGGAAAAGAAGCTTGGAGGCCAACCTGGAGGAAGAAGCTGTATCAGATGCACGTGTGGGGTTGGGCACTGGCGAAGTGAAGGATGGTGGTTCCTGGGAAGTGGGAGACAGTGTGGCCAAGTGGAAAGCACTTGGACTTCTGAGTCAGAGACACCTAAGTTCTTCCCTATCCTCATCACCTGTGATGTGTAACCTTTGCCAATTCAATTTACCTTTGGAGCTTTGTATAATTATCAGGTATGTAGGGAAATAAAATCACATTTGCAGGGACAAAGTTAAGCATTGGACTCAGTCAGTTAAGCATTGGACTCTTGGTTTTGGCTCAGGTCATGATCTTGAGATTCGTGAGTTCAAGCACTGCATCAGGCTCTGCGCTGACAGGTCTACATGTTTTATAACTATGTGTTTCACTAAATAATATATCATTAAAAGCTGTATCAAGTGTTCTTTTTATCATTTTAATGGCTTTATTATATGGCTGTAACATATATAAGTAACTTCCTATTGTCAGATATTTAAATTCTTCCTGGTTTTTCTGTACTATAAATAGCACATTTGCATTACTATCTAAAATCTAACATTTCCTTAAATTAAGGCACGATGATACCACCACATGCCTGTTTTAAGGACAGAATGTAAAAGAAGCATGCCGGTCTGGGCCTTTTATCAAAGCTTAATGAGGATAGTTAAAAAAAATTTTTTTTAATCTTTGAGAGAGAGACAGAGTGGAGTGGGGGAGGGGCAGAGAGAGGGGGAGACACAGAATCCTAAGCAGGCTCCAGGTTCTGAGCTGTCAGCACAGAGCCCAATGCAGGGCTTGAACTCACAAACCGCAAGATCATGACCTGAGCCAAAGTCAGACTCCTAACCAACTGAGCCATTTGGGTGCCCCACGAAGATAGATTTTACCCTTCATTGAATTGTTTTGAGAGTCAAATAAGGAAACATATGTGAACATTTTGTGAAAGGGATATAGCCCTCTACCAAGATAAGCTCTTTATTTACTATGTGCCTTCATTACCAAAGGCTAATTATCTTTGAATCATGGGTGCAAAGAAGCTCCCCCTGGGACTATGTTATCTAAAGCCCTAGGCTCCGAAGGCTAAGGCGGGTCCTGGACAAGCCTGGGATTTAAGCAAGCAGCTGTTCAGGATTATTTTTCTCTTGTTAGCCCTTTCAGGTTTCCAGCATCGTGAACTTCATTTCCATCCTCCCTTCTTTTGCCCCCCTCTGCTCTCTACTTCCCCTCCACACCTCACGTCTGACACCCAGGCAAAGAATGATCATTTATTCACAGGAAGCTAGCCATGGCTGCCTCACGTGTCACCCCTTCCAGAAAAGCTTCATCTAACAGCCAGGTAATTCCCAGAGTGTAAGCAAAAAGACTGAAGCAGAATTGAGTATGTTGGTAAGAGTGATTTCTGGAGAGCCTGAAGTCCCTTCCAGTAAATCCTTGATAGGTATTTACCAACCCTTCATAGGTATTTACTTTTGCTAACTGTCAGGGTGGCCCTGTTTAGCAATTTCCTTAGTCAGAGTCATTTCAAGATGGTATAAATTTCAGAAATATGAGGAAATCCTCTTCTCACTTTGAGCATAAGAGAATAAGTTCAATGCTACACTATAAACAGGGGTGGGTGCCTGCATGGTTCAGTCGGTTGAGTATCCCAACTTTGGCTTAGGTCATAATCTCACTGCTTATGAGCTCCAGCCCCAAGTCAGGGCTCTGTGCTGACAGCTCAGAGCCTGGAGGGTGCTTCAGATTCTGTGTGTGTCTCTCTCTCTTTGTCCCTCCCCTGCTCACATTCAGTCTCTCTCAAAAATAAAAAGTAAAAAAAAACATTAAACAGGGGTAAAAATGAGAAAGAATCAAAATCATGGAATTAAAAAAATAACAGAAAAATTTGAGGTTGAATCATATTATAAAACTAGCACAAAATAATGTTGTAATATTAATTGAAAAAAGCAGATCAAAAAATTTAAAACAAGGGCTTCTACCTGGCTCAGTTGGTGGAGCATGTGACTTGATCTCTGGGTCATGAGGTCAAGCCCCAAATTGGGCATAGAGTTTACTCATAAATAAATAAATAAATAAATAAAACCAAACAACTTAAAAAAATTTTTAAGTTTATTTATTTTGAGGACAAAAGTGGAGGAGGGAAAGAAAGAGAAAGAGAGAGAATCCCATTTCTGCACTGCGGAACCTGATGCGGAGCTCAAACCCACAAACCATGAGATCATCATGGCCTGAGTCAAAGTCAGATGCTTAACTGACTGAGCTACCCAGGTGCCTCTAAAAAAATTTTAAAACATTATAGTTATACCCATGTAAAAATGTACACAGTTTGGATGGTAAGATCTGGAATGAATCTTTTACCTAACATGTTTGATTCATATATGTTTATCAGTTTATATATATATATATGTGTGTGTGTGTATGTGTGTATGTGTGTGTGTGTGTGTGTGTGTGTGTGTGTATATATATTTAGTAAACTCTATGCCCAAAATGGGGCTCAAACTCACATCCCTGAGATCAAGAGTCACATGCTCAGGGAGCCTGGGTGGCTCAATTAGTTAAGCGACCTACTTTGGGCTAGATCATGATCTCACCATTCCTGAGTTTGAGCCCTGCATCAGGCTCTGTGCTGACAGCTTAGAGCCCGGAGCTGGTTTCAGATTCTGTGTCTCCTTCTCTCTCTGCCCCTCCCTCTCAAAAATGAATAAACGTTAAAAAAATTTTTTTTAAAAGGTAAAAAAAAAAATAAAACAGGTACATAAAGCTCATAATATTAGAATAGCTTTGGTTTAAAATTCAGGGCAAAAATAGCCAAGAGATACAGTGATATTAAAGCTCACTGGTATTTCATAGAACACCTTAGGAGAACAATTTTTTACATTTTTATAAATTGAAAATAAAAGAATTTTTATATTTTTAATCATAATATTAAGACCAAAATATATTGTAAATATTTAAAATCATTCAGGTCCCCCCCAATTCCTAAAGTCAGTGACTATCTTTCCCTTCTCACATTGTAGTTTCTAATCTTACCCTTGGCCTTGGTTTTTTCTACCTCCTTTTGGTTTTTCATCTATGTTTCTGGCCAGTCCTCCCTTCTCAATAACTGCTAACAGATCCTCCATCTATATCAATTCCAGAAAGCTGTTCTCCCAATTGAATTCCAATCTCGGCCATCTTCTTGCTCAATACAACCTTCTTGGGCCACTCAATGCGATCCATCTGTCTACTGAGTGCCTATTATATGCAGGGCACTGTGTGAGGTGCTCATCATACCAGTGACTTCCACCATCTCCACAGCTTAAGAACACCCAAATATCTCTCTATCTTGAATGATCAGGCTAACCACCAACACTTCATAGGATCTCTCTACCACAGTGGGCCTGATGCCTTTCAGACTCGGCATGCCAAAAGCTAATTTCCACCACACTCCTCTATCCTACCCTCTTTAAGACATATTCCCTGTTACAGGCACCACCAGGCACTCAGTTGCCTAAGACTGAATCCATCTGCCTAGAGCACCAGCATCTCTTAACCTCGATCCCTTGTCTTACAGTCAATCACTAAATCTAACAATTGCCTCCTAGAATTGTCCATTCTAGTCTGTCCTCCCTGAGAGAGACTTGATTCAGAAACTCCCAACCCTTCCCTGAATTTCTTCTATAGTCTCCTAATTGATCTCCTTACCCTTTTTTTTTTTTTTTGCCCCAACTAATGACACATCTTCTCTCTAGTCACTAGCATGATCATGATCACAATCTCACATCCACATTAAAACTTTTGGAGGCTCCACATCACCAGCAGTTTGCACACCAAGTTCTTTAATGTAGGAAACACTAGAGCCTTCCCAAACTAGATTCTGCCTACCTGTTCGACTTCATTAACTCCCCACTTCCAATCAAAATTCCGGTGAAGGGTTCACTCCCTTCTCCATACCCTTGCACACAGTGGTCCATCTGCCTAGAGCGCCTTTCTCCTGCCATCAGAAGCCAGGCTGGCCTGCACCATGCATCTCTGTGAATTACAAAGGAGCACCTCATCTGGGCAGATTCTGCAAGTGGTGACATGGCAGGTAGTAAATAGCACTTCATGCAAAGAAACAAATGCCTCTTGATGAACGAAATGCAAACCTGATTTCAGTCCCACTTCCCCCCTCCCAGGCACCTATGTATCATGTCCAACTTGCATAAATGTCATGGTAGCCCTGCTACATAGTGTCACCTGCTTTCTGATGCATATCACTTTTATATCTAGGCTGAGTTAAATGCGCCTCCAATGTGCTCCCACTGCTTTTGAATGTATCATTAAGCAAAATGTTCATCCCATTCTATTATAATGAACTTTTGACCAATCTGAATCTCCACTGAAATATATGAACTTTAAGAAGAAAACTTCCCAGGGGCACCTTGATAGTTCAGCTGGTTGAGCAGCCTGCTCTTGACTTTGGCTCAGGTCATGATCTCACAGTTGTGAGATCAAGCCCCATATTGGGCTCTGAACTGACAGCTGGGAGTCTGTTTGGGATCCTCTCTCTCTCTGTCCCTCCCCTGCTTGTGCCCCCTCCCCAACATAAGTAAATAAACTTTGAATAAAAAAGCGTTTCCCAAACAACAGTTCCTAAAATGATTCTGGCAACTGACACAATAAATAAAATGAGGATCATGTTTAGGGTTTTCTACTGCACTTAAATGTCTTCTACAGAGAAGCTGCCTTTTGTTTTGGATTGGGTTCTTCTGACTTTTTAGTGTTAAAATATTTTTTATGTTATGAAAAGATGATAGTGGGTTCTTATTGTTGGGTAAGTTCCTCACTTGGCAAGATAAAATGTTGGTAAAATAATGCCAGTTCAGTTGTTTTATGTTTTTTTTTTTTTTTAATGTTTGTTCATTTTTGAAAGAGAGAGCGAGAGAGTGGAGGGTGGGTGTAGGGCAGGGGATCCGAAGCGGGCTCTACACTGACAGCAGCAAGCCCGACATGGGGCTGTAACTTAAAAACCAGATCATGACGTGAGCTGAAGTCTTGGACAGTCAGCTGGCAGAGCCCCCGGGGGAGCCCTGGTCATTCTGTTTTTAACTCATATGTAAAATCTGACCATATGGGAAACCGCTGCTTTCAAATAAAGACTAGCTCCCTGATCTTTGCATCCCCAGCACAGAGTAGGCTCTCCATAACGTCCATAATGTTGGTGGCATTAATCCCTTTCTTGGTCAGAATTCAGCAAATATTTCAGACCAAATCACTGTGGTTCTCTTCGTTGTCCATTTTGCTTATTTTTATAAGTGTACATAGCCACATAAAGCAACAAACAAACAAACCCTGAAACAACATAAGAGCCTATTCTTGAAACTACTGTGATTATATTCTGTCAGGAATATACATCAGTTATGGATTCTCCAAGGTGTATACTAACCCAAGCTATCTTCTAGAACATACGGAATGGTGTGAGGCCATCTGTATTGTTCTCCAATGATGGAATTTCTATCTTGTGCCTGTCAAAGATAAATGTGAAGGGTTAATTAAATGAATCAGGCAAAAACTTAGGAAACAAGGAATAGTTTATCTAGAAATAAATGAAATTTAAAATGTAAGAAAATAAGTAGGTTTAATCAGGATAAAGTTAAAGGTAGTGGAGGAAGGCTGCTCTGGTTCTGAGGTGCAAACACACTTGGTATGTAATGAGTCTGTTTTGAGGCCAGTAGCCTAAAGAGTTAGGAGAGAAAAGAGATGCAGTAAGAGAGAAAGAGAGGAGATGGGAGGACAGATGGGCAGGAGTTAAATTATGCAAGGTCTTGAATGCTGGAAGTTGGGTAAATCTGGATATTTTCTACATGTAGCAGGAAGCTGTGGAAGAGTTGTAAGCCCGGAAGTGAAATTATATCATTGCCCGTTTAAAAGACCACTTTGTGGAGTGCCTGGGTAGCTCAGTTTGTTAAGTATCCGACTCTTGGTTTCTGTCCAGGTCATGAGCTCATGGTTCATGAGATCAAGACCCATGTCGGGCTCTGTGCTGACAGTGCCGAGCCTGCTTGGGATCCTCTCTCTTCCTCTCTCTCTGACCCTCTCCTGCTCATGTTCTCTCTCTCCCTCTCAAAACACACAAACTTAAAAAAATAAAAGACTACTTTGCTAAGGGGGGGTGGGGAGAGGAACAGGGAGAAAAATATTATAGGGCAGCAATATTTGAAATAGAAAGACAAATTAAAGTAGGTTATTTGGGGGCACATGTTGCAGATGGAGATGACAGAACTTACTGATGGATTGGATAGAGGGGTGAGAGAAAGAGCAGAAGCAAAGGTGACTCCTGGATTTTTTACTTATTCGGGGGAGTAGGGTGATGACTGCCAACGGGGAAGATCAAGGAGAAGCAGTTTGCATGAACCTGGTGACTAGTTTAGGACACCTTACATGTGAGGCACCTCATAGATGGGGAAATGGAACTGACCAATGGGCACCTGGATAGACAAGCATGGAGTGAAGGGGAAGGAATGGATAAGAGTCACACCTTTGGAGTCATCAGCATAGAGGTGACATTTATAGCCCTTACGCAAGCTGAGATCCAGAAGGAGAGCGTATAGATAGAAGAACAAGCCCATGACTAAATCTGAGACACCACAGCTCTACTCTTTGAGTTGAAGTTCCCAATGGAAGTTTCACTTAAACTACCTGTAAGTTATCTATGCTCATCCACATGCCATGTACTCTTCATGCATAGATTTAGGAAGATCGTTACTTGGCAACACTATCTTTAGCTGTCAGGATAGAAGTCACAAAATCTATCTTTTATGGTAAAAAGTCTGATGCGTTGACATGTTTACAAGCTCAGTTTAATTTGGCTTCAACTAGATTAAATCAGCGAGGTTCTATTTAAAAATGAAAACATCAGGGCACCTGGGTCGCTCAGTTGGTTAACCACCTGACTCTCGGTTTTGGCTCAAGTCATGACTTCACAGTTCATGAGTTCGAGCCCTGTGTCGGGCTCTGCACTGACAATGCAGAGCCTGCTTGTGATTCTCTCTCTTTCTCTCCCTCTGCCCCTCCTCTGTTCCCTTGTGCTCTCTCTCTTCAAAACAAATAAATAAACCTAAACAAATGAAAATAAAAATGAAAACATCATATCGTCCCAATAATGAAAATTCATCAGATCAATAAGACCAAAGCATACATTGTGAGCGATGGTGGCATTAACCACACAGAAGTCTGAGTAATGGATAGTGAAGGCATTATTATTCAAGTTCCTCTGAGTATAATGTATTTATTGAATAAATCTGTCACTATGGTTTTGTATCCCCAGAGACAGTTGGGCTTAAAGCCCACGTTGTCCAATCATTTTCATATACTCTTTAGTTTGCAGTAATTAGTAGAAGATTTTCCTTGCTTTGTTTCAACTCACCCCATCAAGTCTGATGTCTCCCTCAAATAGATCCAGCCCCAAATCTAATAGGGAAGATAAAAATTCATGTTAGCAAATTGGATTCAAACTCTCCACTTACCAAAAAATGCAAAAAAGAAAATCTACAAACCTTCATTAATATCAAATATATCTTGATCAATTCCACCATCTACATCTTGAAAAGGAAAGAGAAAAACACACTGAACATTATGTTTTGAAAGAGGACAATCTTTATCAGTTACCAAATTAAAAGTAAGGAAATTTCTTTGTATCCGGTAAGTGACTACTAGGTTCCGATTCAATATACATTGATTGATTGATTGATTGATTGACTGATTGAGAACCTCCCATGAGCCAAGCTTGGGGCTTGGGGGCTTTTGCATATATGTTTTTGTCCTATCCATGTCCGTTGAATGCCAAATGACTTCAGGAATAAGAAATTGGTCACTCTGTATAATATTAAACTTAATTTGGAGGACTATACTTAATTTGGAAGATTAAATGGGAAGCAAATGTTTAAATTTGGTCAAACTAGCCCAATCTACCCATATATATATATATATATATATATATATATATATATATCCCTTTGCTAGTAACGTATCTTGGAACTCTCAAGCAAAAGTCCTAATTTAAATTTGAATTACTCTTGTAAGTTGCAAAGGAGTAGATAATATGGTCAAATGTCTAAGGGTACTAGGATGGACATTGGGCCCATAAGATTTGATACAAAATAGCAAAAGTAATACTAGCAAGCATTTATGGGATGGCTTGTGTGAGTCACTGTGTTTGGATTTTCCTATATCACCATCTGTTTTCTGCTGGGTGTGTGGAACTCTGGAACAGGAACAATAAAACAGTCCTCAATAAATCAAAAGAAGCCAGTGTTTGACTAAAGTTCAATGCAATTATACAATTATGCATATGTAATCATGCATTGTGCCTAGCATTAAATGTGTCCTAAGTTATTCTGTCCTATTGTTCTATTATCCACACGACTTTCTTTTACTGTAACTTAGAGCAAAACTCAAAATAGACTCACCAAAGTTTTCTGGAGTTGGCTGAGAAACAAACACATAAAAAAAAAAAGGTATTATTGTGATGCCCGTGACATAAAAGATCTTCTTGGTTCCAATTTATATCTAGCAATTTGTGGGGGAAAGGGAGTCATTAATATTATGGATTGCTTTCTGGCTCATATCCAAGACAGCTAATTTGGATTCTAAAATAATTTTTTGATGAAAGGGTCTTGTTTTTTCATGTAAAAAAAATGAAACTGGCTGTTGCATAGATTTGAAGGTGAAAGAAACAAGAAACCAACTTCACAGATTGAAAAGAAGTCAGAACATAAGACTTCAGCCCTCAGATAAATGTTTACTTTAAACGTGATTTTCTAAAGGATTGATGGAGCAATGTTTGAAAAACCTAGTAATTTATCCCATTGTTGAAATATTATTGTAATTTATAACAACCCCTTATAAAGAAATTTTATGGAAGACTTCATTACTCATGGTTTACTTTCACATTTTCCTCAAGTCTTTGTTTGAGAAATGTTTAAGAAAAAAAGCAATTGTTATACTTTCCAGTTTAAAAAAAAAAAACCTTAAGGGACCTTCGGCTCAGGTTATGATCTCAGTTTGTGAGTTCGAGCCCCATGTTAGGCTCTGCACTGACAGGGTGGAGCCTGCTTGGGGCTCTCTGTCTCCCAGTCTCTCTGCCCCTTCCCCACTCATGTGCGTGCGCTCTCTCTCTCTCAAAAATAAATAAAATAAACCTTAGAAAAAACACACTTAAAAAAAAAACACTTCTGAAAATAGGTTCTCTACAAGTGACCAAATGAAAAACCTAGACTACATGCCCAATGGAAAAAATGAAGTAAACCTGACAAATTTCTTTTTCTTTTATTTTTTAATGTTTATTTCTGAGAGAGATTGAGGGCGCGCACAAGGAGGGGAGGGGCAGAGAGAGGGAGACACAGAATCCAAAGCATGGCCCCAGGCTCTGAGCTGTCAGCACGCTGGGCTCAAACCCACAAGCTGTGAGATCAAGACCTGAGCCAAAGTCGGATATTTAACTGACTGAGCCACCCAGGCACCCCTTAAACCTGAGAAATTGCTTAGGGAAGTCAAGTCTAGTGAAAAAGCTCATGGGACTGGCCGACAGTAGGTCTGGGTTTTATGCCTCATTCCACCAATTCACAGCAAGTCAGTTCAGCTTCCTGAAATTCAGACTATCTGTAAAATAGGTTAATACAGTGTACATATCCAATACCAGAATGATACGGACTATTTGGCAAGCAGTAGGAATTGAACTGGCTGGATAGTTCCCCTTCTGCTTGATATTAAGAAGTGCCTGTTTTTCTCACACGCAGCCACACAGAGGCGCACTCACAGAGGAATGCTAATACATCTAATGATAAAGGTTACCATGGGGCACCTGGGTGGCTCAGGTGGTTAAGCGTCCGACTTCAGCTCAGGTCATGATCTTGTGATTTGTGAGTTTGAGCCCTATGTCAGGCGCTATGCTGACACCTCTGAGCCTGAAGACTGTTTCAGATTCCGTGTCTCTCTCACCCTGTGCCTCTCATACTCTGTTTCCCCTCTCTCCATCCCCGCTCTCTCTAAAGAGTTATTCTAAAGAATAAACATTTAAAAATTTTTTAAATTATCAAGTATTTGTTCGCAACTCCAGTTATAATGTCTTAAATGGTATCTCTTGTTCTCAATGTTGTAGATCTTGTTCAAAGACTATCAGCTCTATATAATAAACTTATTATCACAACTAAATCACAACTAACTAACTAAATCACAACTAAAGCTTTCTCTCCTAGGCATTTGAAACTTCATTTAAAACCTTGGGTTGGTCTGCGGCACAAACTACCTCTCACTGTAGAAAGATTGGTCTAAGCTGGCAAAGACGCAGTTGAGAAATCCCAGACTACAAAACCGTAAGCGTCTGCTTTGCTTGTGACATCCACCATTCATGTCTCATGGCACTGCCACAGCAATATGCATTTCACTCAGCAGTAAAACATGGAATGCTTTTCAAATTGCACATTTCCCATCTTATCAAAAGAAAACTTGTTACACAAACATGAAACTGAAAGAAATATATAACTTTTATGTCAATGTCCCTGACTGTGTTGGACGGGGCTCCTTCTCACCCCTTACTACCCTGCCTGCCCTCGCGCCTCGCTCATTTCATTAACATCTCGAAATTCCTCAAAAGCAAAAAGTGAACAAACAGGCATTAGGCCCCCGGTTTTTCTCATCATTTCCCCAACACTGTTTCCTTACCAAGCCAGGAACCAGGAGGAGAATGGCCAAGAACAGAAAGCAAGGCAGATACCATGAATCCATGTTGTGGCTTCCAGTTGAAATTTGCAAACTAAGAAAGCCAGAGTAGCGTTTACTTCGTAAAAGGCCAACATCATAATTTATAGCCTTTGATCTCAAAGATCCATCTTGCGGGTCAGCTCGCTGTAGTAGTATTATCTGCAATCAGAGTTAAAGTCCAGTATCCTGAACACAGCTCAGCAACGTTGTTGGTTGGCTTTTTTTTTTTCCCCTGTGTCAACATTTAGTAGTCAAGTGCCTGGCTGACACCTGTTAATGAAATAAGTTCTCTAATTTATACATATTTGTCCTTAGAATTATTTTATTTTTTATTTTTATTATTTTTAAAAATATTTATTTATCTTTGAGACAGAGAGAGAGAGAGACAGAGCATGATCGGGGGAGGGTCAGAGACTGGGAGATACAGAGTCTGAAGCAGGCTCCAGGCTCCGAGCTATCAGCACAGAGCCCGATGTGGGGCTCAAACTCACAAACTGTGAGATCATAACATGATCCGAAGTCGGTCGCTTAACCGACTGAGCCACCCAGGCGCCCCTGTCTTCAGAATCATTGACGGCCACTCGGGCAAAAAAAAAAATCACATTACTTTTTAAACTTTTTTTATTCTTACTTTTATGATTTTCCTTTCGTGAATTCTGGAAATTAATTTTTAATCTTACTCTTTCAAATAGTAATGTTTGTGAAGCTCCTTCTGCTCATTTAACCCTGTGCTGCTTTAATATATCTTGTTATGTCCATGGCTTTTTTTTTTTATCATTCATTCATTTGTTAGAAAATGTATTGAGTTACAAAATCCATTTATGTGTTACAAATCTGGCATATTTTGATCATTAGATATAAAGTAGCAAAATAGCAACATATCTCACTCCAGAAAATTCCCATCAAACAAACCTGAGGGAGAGGGTAAAAGGTTAGGAATGGTCACTGGTTTTCTGATAAACTAGTGTTCCAATCCATCTCACAACTCTTTTTTTCCCTTGTTTTCTTGGGATAACTTCTCTTTAGAGACAACCTACTCTCTGTGTTCCCACAATTCTGCTCTTAACTGTGCTGCGGGGTCATATTTTTGCAACACCACTTTTTCCTTCAGCACTTCCTCCCCACTCAGGATTGGGTTTTGCCCCTCTCTGTCCTAATAGGAAGGATATAGAAAGACGGCGCGGTAGTAGAGCCAAAGGACTTGGGAGGATGCTCTTTGTGAGTTCCAGCAAGTCATTCCCACCCTCCGAGGGGAGGGGAAGTGTTCAAAGGGAAAGTTACAAACCCAATTCCTCACTTGTTCCCAGGGACCCTGCAGATGGTTTGTGGGATCCCAAATCAAACGGGCCTGCTCCCTGGCTAGGGCTGTAAGGAGCCAAAAACACTCTAGAAGAGAAAGCAGGTGGTGGGAGGAAGGGCGTAACTCTTACGAGACCAGAGGGCCACGCGAGCATCAGGGAAAGCCACCGCACCCGAGGGGCCGCGTGGATAGGAATCCGAGCGGCTCCATAGCGGGCTGCGTAGGACACCCAAGGTCAAGGCAGACGGACGGAGGTTTCAGAGCCCGCCTGTGAGGGCGGAAGCCACGGGGATCAGGTGGGGGCTTGGGCCGTCACGCTGCGGCGCAAGCCTCAGGGTAAACGATGGGAATCCTTAATCGGCAGCAATTAAATTTCTCCCGTTACTGGGATGGGGACCCAACAGAATAATTACAGTTGCGGAAAAATAAAGGTATGTGTTCTGCGCACCTGCTCTTGAGAGCTGCGTGCAACCGAGACCCCTGACTGCAGGCCAGGCCTTAGGGCAGGCGGCTCCCACTCCAAGCTAAGACCCTGCAATCAGGGAGGTTGAGGCAACAGTTGCGAGGACCGTCGTAGAGGGCCTGAGCCTGCCTGCCACAGCGTAGGGACAGCCTCCCTAGGGACCTCACGGACAGCCGTGGGGGCATGGCTGAAATCCAGCTCCAGGAATGTGTCTGACCGCAATGAATGGGTAGATTTTACGTTTCCTGCTTCCCGGGACGGTCAGTGAAGCTCTAAGGCAGAAGCTACCCTTGGCCGGTCTAACCTGGCTCCCGCCCCGCCCGCTTGCCTCCCGGAAAGCTCTTCATTTCTCCTGGGGACTAACTATCGCCACCCAAGCTCGAGATTCCAGCCACACGGATTGTTCTGGGAGCTCCTGGAACTATCAGGAAAGCACATTGCTTGCAGGAATGTGATTCTCAAAATCCGCCCTGGAATACGAGAACCGTCTAGACCGGAGGACGGCAGATCCCAAGTATGAAAAGCTTTCTAATAGGAAATAGTACGGGGGCACCTGGGTGGCTCAGTCGGTTGAGCGTCCGACTTCAGCTCAGGTCACGATCTCACGGTTCATGGGTTCGAGCCCCGCATCGGGCTGTGTGCTGACAGCTCAGGGCCTGGAGCCTGCTTCGGATTCCGTGTTTCCCTCTCTCTCTGACCCTCCCCTGCTCACACTCTCTCTCTCTCTCTCTCTCTCTCTCTCTCTCTCTCAGAAATAAATAAAACATTAAGAAAAAAAAAGGAAATAGTACAGAGGTTGCAACACAAGATCCACTTCATATCTTTCCCCTTAGAACGCCCACTTCCTTCACCCAGTTCTTCTTCCAAAAATTCCTTCACCCAGTTCTTCTTCCAAAAACAACAGCAAAAAGTTTTTGTAAGTTATGTTATGTGTTCTCCAGTGGTGGCCCTTTATGAAATCTTATCAACACTTCTATAACATATTAGGGAGGTGCATATATTTGAATTTAAATTAAATTTAATGGATCTAGGAAAAAGGAAGAAAATGGAGGTTGTGGCGGCTAACGAAGTCCCCAGGCAGCCAGGAGAACACAAATCTATTAGGCACCCAGCCAGTTAAAGGGCAGAAGAGCTCATAAGACATCTGCACTCCCAGGGATTGAGCAGAATAAACCACATTGTTCTAGGTCCCTCCCCAAACTACCTTCTCTTACTCCATTTTTCAAAATTGTGGATGTTACTGTATTAGTCAAGGTTCTCCAGAGAAGCGGAACCAATAGAATCCGTACATAGATAGAGACATTTATTTAAGGAATTGGCTCACATCACCGTGGAAGCTGGCAAATCCAAAATCAGCAGGGTGGGCAGGTAGCCTGGAGACCCAGAGAAAAGGCAATGTTGCAGCTTGAGTCCAAAAGCGGTCTGCTTGCAGAATTCTCTCTTCTGGCAATCTTGGCCTTTTGTCTCTTAAGTCCTTCGACTGATTAGATGAGGCCCACCCACATAAAGAAAGGAAATCGGCTTTACTCAAAGTCTACTGATTTAAATGTTAGTATCATCTAGAAAATATCTTCGCAGTGACATATAAACTAGTATTCAACCAGATATCTGGATGCTATGGCCTAGCCAGGTTGATACATAACATGAACCATCAGTTACCTTTTTCATTCTCTTCTTTTATTTGCCAGACTCTTTGCAGTCACCTGTTTATGGGATAGCTATTGGTTACACTAAAGGCGGCTATTATTGCCAGCTCAGTACAATTGGCTGGCCTCCCAGCCACACCCCTGGCTGAAGACAAAGATGCCATCTATCATATTTCATGGTGAGTATGAATGACAACATAGTCACATCTGTAATACCGGGAAAATATCAAAGGACCGAGAGTTACCCTTCAGATTTCACAAAGCCAGTTGGCTGAGGCAGTGAGGAGCAATTCTCTTCTTACACAGCATGATCTTACTTCAAATTCCTGTACTGTTTTGTGTTTTGTTTTGTTTTGTTTTTTCAGTAATTGTTATACTGAACATGGGGCTTGAACTCATAGCACTGAGATCAAGAGTTACATGCTCTACTGACTGAGTCAACCAGGCACCCCTCTGGACTGGCTTTATAGGGGGAGCTTTTACGCTGGGAGCTGGCCCACGAAGAAACAGTGGGGGGATAATTGTATCAGGGCGATGAGATAGCAGCTCCCTCCCTCGGTCACAAGAAGATCACCAGGTGGCCCGAAAAGTTTGGCAACCCTACGGTAGCTCAGCAAGCATGGGGCCGTTAAAATCTCACCCCTGGCCAGAACAGGTCTAAAATGGGTGTCCACTGGGGTGTCTGAGTGGTTCAATTGGTTGAGCATCTGACTTCGGCTCAGGACATGATCTCATGGTTTGTGAGTTTGAGCCCCGCATCAGGCTCTGTGCTGACAGCTCAGAGCCTGGAGCATGCTTGGGATTGTGTGTCTCCCTCTCTCTTTGTCCCTCACCTGTTCGTGCTCTGTCTGTCTCTCAAAAAAAAAAAAAAAAAGAAACATTAAAAAAATTTTAATGGGTGTTAAGCATTTGCTGCATGTGGTGGGAGCAGATTTGCTGGACAGAAGCAAAAAAAAAACAAAAACTTGAAAGATAATCTTCTTCCTTCTTTCTGTTTTTCTTGGGCTCCAGCTTTTAACCGCAGTAACATTCAGCCTAGGCAGCTTTAACCAGAAAAATTGCTGAGAAAGGAAAGATTGAATGTATGATTGATTTCATCGCAGTCTCCCTTGAATGGGAAAGGTGTGAGGCATTCTGCTGGAGGTGTTAGGCTCCTGTCCCCTCCTGTCACATGTGCTTTCCTCCATAGCAGTCTTCAACCATTTGCCTTGATTAGGAAAAGTGACTGAGAACCCACAAAGAAATTTTATTATTTTATCTATCGATATTGACCTTATTAGAAATTAACACTGAAAAATTTTGAAATATTTATTAATTCATTAAAAGTAATAATTTTAAACCTTTCATATGTTAGTGTAAATAATATATTTTAAGGGTGTCTGGGTGGCTCTGTCCGTTGAGCATCCGACCCGATTTCAGCTCAGGTCACGATCTCACAGTTTGTGAGTTCGAGCTCCACGTCTGTCAGTGCAGAGCCTGCTTCGGATTCTCTCTCTCCCTCTCTCTTTCTGCCCCTTCCCAGCTCCCACCGTTTCTCTCTCTCTCCTTCTCTCTCTCTCTCTCTGTCAAAAATAAATAAACTTTAAAAAATATATTTTAATTTTTTAAATTAAGCACATATTCAAAAAATAATGGGAAGAGTGGCACTGCTCTACATTTTGGCACATCTCTTAGTGTCTGACTTTACTAGAAGACAGTTGAACTCTCAGATTGGCTGCATTCAGCATGTTGCCATATGTTGTCACAATTCAAGCATATGAAGAAAATTCAGGCTCAGACAGAAATGTAGTTAAAAAGAGGAACAGGGGCATCTGGGTGGCCCAGTGGTGTGGGCTTGGGTGGCCCTGAGTGTTGGACTTTGGCTCAGGTCCTGATCTCACAGTCTGTGAGTTCGAGCCCTGTGTTGGACTCTGTGCTGACATCTCAGAGCCTGGAGCCTGCTTTGGATTCTGTATCTCCCTCTCTCTGCCCCCATTGGTACCCTGTGTGTGTGTGTGTGTGTGTGTGTGTCTCTCAAAATAAATAAACGTTAAAAGACAAAAAACCCAAAAACATCCTCTCATGGCTACCAAAAAAACAAACAAACAAATAAAAAAAACAAAAACCCAAAGCAAAGAGGAGTTTTTTTAACAGCCTTTTTAGATAATTGTGGCTGTTCTTCGTAAATACTACACCCAAATTCCACATGCCGCAGTTTCTTATATCACATCGACGAACTTTTCATACTCTATTATATTAAAATCCATTGGTCTAATCTTGCATTTCAAATGGATCTTTTCCTTATGCATGATTTGTAACACCACCTGTCTTCAGAAAATCAAGATTTCCCCAGTGTTGATGCATTTCATATCCCTTATCAGATAAATCTCTTGGTCGAAGTCACCACCAATCTCATCAGAAAAGTTGATAAAGATTTGGGAAAGCATCAAATTCACAGTGGCAGACACAGGTGTTCCAAAATTCTTTCTCTTGAAAGCTCAATTTTTAGCATTGACAATAAATACCGTCAGTTGGTTTCCTTGATAGGTTAAGCCCACTCCATTCGTTTTTAAGAAAATTTCTGCGAAATACCTAATAACTACAGTTTGCCTATCGGTTATTTTGTAAGTAAATACGGCGTTCTGTGAACAAATTAGCTGGTGCAGCTCGCGTCTCAAGCAATCACACAAATGTTTTGCTCAAAACAAAGATCATATTTTGGAATGCAGCGCAAGTGCTCTGTGTGTACTTCCCATTTTATGACACAGAATATTAAAAAGATGTGCACTCAAGGGCCTAGATTTAATAAAATTAATTTTTATGACTTCATCAGGACACTTTCAAGTGAGACTGTGGTTGTTTTTACCACAAGGGCATGGTGCTAAAGAATACAACGGCCACTAGGGGCGCTGGGGGTTCAGTCACATAAGCATCTGACTCTTGGTCTCAGCTCAGGTATTGATCTCAGGGTGTTGAATTCAAGCCCCCTGTTGCACTCTGTGCTGGGCGTGGAGCCTGCTTAAAAGAAAAAAAACAACAAAAACAATGGCTGTGTTTGGGATTCTCTGTCTTATCCTCTCTGTCCCTCCCCTGCTTATGCTAGCACGTTCTCTCTCTCTCTCTCTCAAAAATAAATAAAGTTTTTAAAAAAGCCAAAATGCCAATATTATTATGAAGATAGTTTTGGCTTATGAAAACCTGCAAGGGCCTCTGGGACATTTCAGGAGTCTGCGGACTGCATTTGGAGAACTATTGCTTTATACTGAGGGGGAGATAGAACAAGACTCAGAGAGGCAGGGATTTGGGCCCTTAGGTGAAAAGTTCAGCAATTTAGGGGCAGCTGGCTGGCTCAGTCACAAGATCATGTGAGTCTAGATCTCGGGGTCGTGAGTTTGAGCCCCACGTTGGGTTTAGAGATCACAAATAAATAAATAAATAAATAGAAGAAGTTCAGCAATTTAATAGCTACCTGAGCATGGGAAAGTTAAACTTTCTGGGTCTCAACTTTTTTATGCATAACAGAATTTTTTTTTAACTTATTGATTTATTTCGAGAGAGAAGAGAGTATGAGCAGGGAGCGGGGCAGAGATAGAAGGAGATAGTGAATCCCAAGCAGGATCCACACAGTAAGTGCAGAGCCCAACTCGGGGTTTGAACTCACAAAACTGTGAGTTCATGACCTGAGCCGAAATCAAGAGCCGCCCAGATGCCCCAACAGAATTTTTTTTAAATGAGCATGTTATCAACAATAACCAAGGTATGGAGAATGTCCAAATGTTCATCAACTGATGATGAATGGATAAAGAATATGTTATGTGCATATATGTATATATATATATACATACATACATACATACATACACACAATGGAATATTACTCAGCCATCAAAAAGAATGAAATCTGGCCATTTGCCATGATGTGGATGGAGCTAAAATGTATTATGCTAAGCAAAATAAGTCAGTTGGAGAAAGGCAAATACCATATGATTTCATTCATATGTGGAATTTAAGAAACAAAACAGATGGACATGTGGGAAGTGGGGGCATGGGGGGTGGAGAGAAGAGAGAGAAACAAACTACAAGAGACTCTTAATGAAAGAGAACTATGGGTTGGTGGAGGGAGGGGGATGGAAGATGGGCTAAAAAGGTGATGGGCAGTAAGGAGGGCACTTGTGATGAGCACTGGATGTTACTGTATGTAAGTGATGAATCACTAAATTTTATTCCTGAAACCAATATTGCACTATATTTAACTGACCAAAATTTAAATTGAAAAAAAAATTAAAAAGAGTATATTCAGCATATTAAAAATTATGTATAAATTTAGTGCCTAGAATATAGAAAACACTAGAATATGGACCAGAGATGTGTATTTAAGGGGGTTCATGAACAAACAAAATTATTGGAGAAAACCAAACTATATTTTAATTAACATATTCATTCCAAAATATTTATAGAAAGCCACAACCAGGCACTGTACTATGTGGAGATACAGAAACAAATGGGTGTGACCCTTGCTCTTGAAAAGTTTCCAGGGGCATTTAAATCAACTCAGCATTTAAGTCAACTGTAAAGACTCAACCTGATCAGTGTTATAAAGAAAGATAGGTACCAAAGACCAAGGTCCAACAGTGAAGTACTTGCTCATAGTACCTAAATCCATATAGGAAGCCCATTGAAAAGGGAAGAAGGACTCTTGGGCCAGTCCAAGTGTAGAAAATGACAGACAGCCTGGTTTTTGGCAAGTTTACTGGTCACCAAGGTACCTGATAAGCTAATAGGGAGGTGGGGAGCCCCATCATTCTGAACCACAGTCTATGCCCTTGCATGGGGAAGCCAGTCATAGCACTGGATTTTCAGGTCCCTGCCATGATGGTGAGAAGCAGCAGCAGCTGATTTCTTACATGTTCATCATGGAATCTTTGAATATAGATAGATAATGCCCAGCTGCTCTGTGACCAGGGATTTATGCTTTGACAGGTGCTGCTGTGGATTAGGGGCCCTCCACCTGTTGACTTTGCTCTGTGTGGCCAGCAGAGCAAGGTGTGCATGGAGTAGGTGACATGTGATTCATTGCATTTGGGTAAGAATAAAAGGGAAAGAACAACATTGGCTTCAAGAGTCATCATTCAAGTGTCACAATTGAGGCCACTTGTCAATGTTTCCATGGCATTGGATCTCCAGATGAGGGTGCTGAAAGGTTGTGCCTCAGCCTAGAACACGAAAGAACAAAACCTCATAGACACAGCAGATTAAGTCATTGCTGTTTTCTGACGAAGCAGACAGGAAGTGCAGGATGCCGTTCCATCTTCATCTAAGAGAGGAGAGAGGAAAAAGAGAGATAAAGAGCAATCAAGGAAACGAGTGTCAGCTTATGTGTACATTGGGGGGGGTTTACTGTTAACCACTAGACATTTTAGGACTGAGGACCAAGAGCCAAGAGTAACATGCCTATTTCACAAATTGGCCCTAAAACTAGTCTTGCATAGTGAAGTGACTTGGTTTGCTTTGATAATCCTAGAGAATGGATCTATCCACAGATGATCCTTTGCACTAATGTAGATATTTCCTGGTATGAGGTTATGAACAAGGGAGGTAAGTTAGACATTCATATCTTTACATCATGATATCATTATTAAATGTATGGTTAAATGTTTGGGTGGATGCATGGATGGATGAATGGATGGATGGATGGATGGATGGATGGATGGATGGATGGGAAGGTAGGTTAGTGGTGGTTTGGTATGGAATATGAACTTTTGAGCCAACGGTGAAATAAATTTTAGGAAATTAAAAACTTCTAAGGTAGGATACCTAAGGAGAGCTATCTGGGGAACCATTTGCTCAAAGAATAGAGGACAATTCAGAGTCCTACCTCTAGCCTTGAACTAGAGATTGGAAATCACTTTGAACATCTCAAATATTGAAGGGTCTAACTAATACTACATCAGGAGAGTTGGGGACAGTGGTTCTGGGGGCTAAGAGAAGCAGAGACTCAGCTTCAGAATCTGTCAAGCTTGAGCGTCATTTGGTGTCTGTAATCCTCCCATATAATAATTCATGACAATGGAACATACCTCAGCCACCATTGATCTTAACCTGAGATCCATAGTCATCGACAGAATTCAGGAGTTCTGTGAATTTGATGGGGAAAATAGTTACATAAAATAATTACATCTCAATTTCATTAACTTTTAATTAAAATGTAGCATTTCCTTACATTGCAAAATAAGCATAAACACTAATTAGGTATCGGTACCTGTGACTGTCACTAATAAAAATAACAAGTATTTTCATATCAGAGCACAGTAAGTGTTAATATCTCAAAATGCTTTGAATTATGGCGGTCATTGAGCCTGGAGCTAGGTCTAGTCATTTACCACATTAACAAACACATGTATTACTGTATCACAAATATTTTTTTTGCTAACTAGATTTCAATATAATCATGGGTTTTTTTGTAATCTTATGTATTTTATTTTATGCATTTAAAACATTATTCTGGAGGCACCTAGGTGACTCAGTCATTGAGCATCTGATTCTTGATTTCGGCTCAGGTCATGATCTCATGGTTCATGAGATTGAGCCTTGAGTTGGGCTCCATACTCTGCAGAGCCCGCTTGGGATTCTCTCTCTCTCTTTTTTCTCTCTGCTGCTCCCCTGATCCTGTGTGCTCTTTCTCTCTGTCTCTCTGTCTGTCTCTCTCAAAATAAACACAAATAGATAGATAGATAGATAGATAGATAGATAGATAGATAGATAGATAAAGTAGATAAATAAATAAAATATTATTCTGAGAAGGGATCCATGAGCTTCACCAGCCTAAAAAAGGTGTCCATGGCCTAAAATGTTAGGGTGACAACAATGTAAATGAATCTAGAGAGTATTATGCTAAGTTAAATAAATCAGTTAGAGAAAGACAAATACTATATGATTTCACTCATATCTGGAAGTTAAGAAACAAAACAAATGAACAAAGGAGAAAAAAGACAGAGAGACAAACTAAGAAACAGTCTCTTAACTGGAGAGTACAAGCTGATGGTCAGCAGAGGGGAGGTGGGGGGGGGTGTAAAATCGGTGCTGGGGACTAAGGAGTGCATCTGTGATGAGCACTGGGTGATGTAGGGAATCTTGAATCACTATGTGGTATACCTGAAACGAATATAACACTGTATGTTACTTACATAGGAATTAAAATTTAAAACGTAATAAGAATGAAAACAAACATTCGGGTGAGACAGCTGCTTCCTCCCATGGTACCTCATCTTCCCTGGGTGGACGTCACACTGAATTCTCACGAAGGGATAGGCAGTTTTTTTCCTGACATTTCCAGGAAGCAGCTCAAACCATCAAGCCCAAGGACTGTAAGCAAGCTGTTTTATCCATTAGGCACCATAGAAACGGGGCCCAGGGCCAATGAGCTCGAACAATGCCGTCTACAGACACATTTAAGACAGAGCTAGGGGGAGAATTTTTGCTCTAAACTAAAAATAAAGCTACAGATGTGGAATTAATAAATGTCTAATTAAATGTACCACATTTCATATGTCAAATTCATCTGTCATTACATGTAATATTCACAAATATTTTTGTATTTGAAACATTTACAGATCGGATTTTCTCACTTTGCATGAAATCTCAAGTAAACATGATTATGAAGCAAAACAATAAATAATTAATGTTACAGCCAAATATTCTCAAAAGTAGAATTATATAAACACACCTATATTTTGTGGGGGAACAAACCTTGACTTATGCAATGTATAATGTCAGTACATTTAGTACATTTTACTATGTTTGAGAGGTGCCTGGATGGCTTAGTCGGTTGAGTGCCCAACTTCGGCTCAGGTCATGACCTCATGGCTTGTGAGTTCGAGCCCCACATGGGGCTTTGCTCTGACAGCACAGAGCCTGCTTCAGATTCTCTCTCTGCCCCTCTCCCACTTGGACTCTCCCTGTCTCTCTCTCTCTCTCTCTCTTCCTCCCTCTTTCTCAAAAATAAATAAACATTAAAGAAAAAAAAAGAAAGAAATGTTGGGAGTGGCGGAGCTCCAAAGAATCAAATGGACCCAGGCCTCCAAAGGTCTCAAAACCATGCTGGCCTGACATTGTAAACCTGTCCTCTTAGACCCTCAAGAGGAGCACAGCCTCAGAGTTTGGGCCCTTGGAAGACTCCTACCTTCCTCATCCCTTCCCCCAGACACCCTCCCAAAGCCCCCCAGTCCTACGCCACTCTTCCTTACCCCTCACTGTCCTCCTCACTCCCTGGCCCTGGGCATTCAGCTTCTCAGAAAGTAAGAGAATTCCGGCCATTTTTATTTGCTTTGGTGGAGACGCCAGGAATCGAACTCAGGGCCTCACTCCATTGGAATTTTACAAACAAGAGGAGGAGGTTAGCTGGGTTCTCCTCTGCCCAGCTCTCTGACCCTCTAACAGGCAAGGCCTGGCGCTCCACCAGTCGGAGTTCTCCCAGATCACGTCTCTTGGCTTTTCCTCTTTTCATCAGAAATGCTCTGTCTGGTTTCCTCAAAAAGCACTGGACAAGCCCACCTTTGTCACCCTGAGCAGTGACAAGTCACGTGGAGGAGAAATTGTCCTAGCTGTCCTTCTTCCATCTGGATGTCCCTGAGCGTTCACCTGCGGCGGGTGGTACCCGTAGCGGGGCATCTCCAGGGCTGAAAAGGAGCTTGTCTGTGCCCTGCGCATATGTAAGAGACACACCAGAAGCCGTCAATAAGGCTCAACCCTAAAGAAAGGAACCAAAACACAGGAGTGAAAAAAGGGCCTCTTTTGTTTAACGATGGACCTTGCAGTCAGCTGGACTAGGTATTTGCTTGAAGCCATAAAACAGAAGAAAACCAGTTGACAAATACTGAAAATTTGCTGTATTTATTTGAAAGCATGAGAGAAGTCCAGGAAAATTCAGAACTTTGGTGTACTTTCTTACGCTTAACTGTAAGGACAGTGTAACCAAAGAAAGGCCCCAAACCTGGACTTGGGAAGAACTCTCTCCTGGGAAGAAGTCAGCCCTCCTGATAAAATGCACAGGCCATTTGCTGCTGAAGGTCAGTGGGACTGAGATTTGTCCACGGAACCTAGTTCTCTGCTCACACACTGGAACGTCAGGTGCCTTTTACCAAACTTTGTTATTGATGAATTTGATCTTACAGTGATTATATAAAAGTGTTCTCTTTTCCTAGGGGTGTCAGGGTGGGGGCGGGGGTGGGGGGCTCAGTCGGTTAAGCTTTTGACTTCAGCTCAGGTCATGATCTTACATTTCGTGAGTTCAAGCCCTATGTCAGGCTGTCTGCTGTCAGCACAGAACCTGCTTCAGATCCTCTGTCTCCCTCTCTCTGCCCCTTCCCCACTCATGCTCTCTCTAAAAATAAATAAACAAACAAACATTTTTAAAATATCTTTTTAAAAATAAGATACCCCTACTGGGAGTAAATCTTTGGATTAGCCTCTGAAACGTCTCTTCCTTTGTATCTGTGATATCTGCTCACGGGTAAATTGTCTGAAAAGTTGTCTTTAACATGAGTATTGTTTTTATTTTGAGGTAAGGGGTTAGGCCTTATGATCTTTCCTGGGTTTAAGATATTTAAGATTGCTGGCTTCTGTATCATTGAATTGCTTTTAATCATATATGACATATATAGATTAATTCCTCTAAAGATGATAGGCAAAAGAATTCTGCTCTAATTACATTTCCCATAAAGGCTGTTATGGCACACTACTGCTTAAGTGTAATTTTCAAAAAAGTAAAATTATGCCTCTCATGCAAATATAAATGTACACATGTCCAAGATTGTATTCAGTTAAGTACTAGAGAATCAGTAAGATATCAGAACCAGTTTCAAGAAGAATTTGAAGAACAGTCATTTATAGAGGCAATCAAGAATGCTGAAATAAGTATGCTAATAATATTTGCAAACTGATGGATATTATATTGGAACATGATGTATAATATTGAAGTTATCTTTCTAAAGGGCAGAAGTCAATTGTATTTGACAATACATTTGCATTTGACAAGAGTATTTGCATTTCTATTGACAAGAATCATTTGCATGACTACCACTTTTCTACCACTTCCATTTTGCCTTAGTCAATAGAAGACAATCAAAGGTATGCACCCCTGCAAAATCAGATCCTGCTCTCTTGACAGTGCCCAACACTCTGTTAGAAGATAACTCCTTAATCTCTTTAGCCAGTTACCAAATTTTAGATCATTTTGTTTGACAAGAAACCATTTATCAACAATTGCAGGCGTGTCTGGGACTCTTGATTTTGGCTCAGGTCACGATTTCATGGTTCAATTCCTGAGATTGAGCTCCACGTTGGGCCCTACTCTGAGAGCTTGGAAACTGCTTGGGATTCTCTCTCTCACTCTATCTCTCTCTGCCCCTCTCTAGTTTGTGTGTGCATGCTCTTTCGCTCCCTAGAAAGCTAAATAAACATTAAGAAAAACAATCACACCCTATCAAAAAATATAGAACAAATTAACAATGGGTGGGGACTATGAGAATCATAGTGAACAATTGTTGGCCCCTTTGCTTTCCTCTTCCTGACTTTATAGTAACAACAGAATAATACTTTCCAGGGGCGCCTGGGTGGCTCAGTCAGTTAAGCACCCGACTTCAGCTCAGGTCATGATCTCACAGTTGGTGGGTTCGAGCCCCGCACCGGGTTCTGTGCTGGCAGCTCAGAGCCTGGAGCCTGTTTCAGATTCTGTGTCTCCCTCTCTCTCTGACCCTTTGGCTCACGTTGCCTCTCTCTCTCTCAGAAATAAATTTAAAAAAAATCTTTTTAATTGAAAACGAGATGGGAGAAGGGGATGGGTGTCAGGGGCTATGCAGGAAGAAAGTAGAGAAGCTTGCTTTCCCTGATGTTAGACATTAAAAGTCATTTTAAATTTATAATAATAAACACAGGAACAGATTAATAAAACAATATAAATCCCCAAACCATACCCAAGTTAAAGAATACACTAGATGTGACATTTAAAATCAGTGGACAAATGATTCGATAGATGATATTAAGACAACTTGATACATAGTTGCTCAAAATTTTTTTATTTTATTTTTTTAGAGATTTTATGTTTAACTAATCTCTACAACCGATGTGGGGCTCCAACCCACAACCCCAATACCAAGAGTTACATGCTCTACTGACTGAAAAAAACGTTTTCAAAAAAAATTATTAAAGCATTAGTTGGGGCACCGGAGTGGCTCAGCTGGTTAAGCCTCTGACTCTTGATTTCCGCTCAGGTCATGATCTCATGAGATTGAGCCCCACATTGGGCTCTGCACTGACAGTGTGGAGCCTGCTTGGGATTCTCTCCTCCCTCTCCTTCTGCCCCTGCCCACTCATGTTCTCTTTCTCTCTCTCTAAACTAAATAACATTTTTTTTAAAAGTATCATTTGGAGGGGCACCTGGGTGGCTCAGTCAGTTAAGCGTCCAATTTCAGCTCAGGTCATGATCTCATGGTTCATAGGTTCAAGTCCCACATTGGGCTCTGTGCTGACAGCTCAGAGCCTGGAGCCTGCTTCAGATTCTGTGTCTCCTTCTCTCTCTGCCCCTCCTCTGCTCATGCTCTCTTTCTCTCTCTCAAAAATAAATGAACATAAAAAAATTTTTTTTAAAGGCATCATTTGGAATTAGCTAGTTGGGGATGGGGAGGGAGCTCTGACATTTTAGACAGAAGGCAGTCAGAGCAAAGGAATTACAGTTCAAGCAAGGATAAAACCGTGGGTCCAGATGGAAACCTTAGTGCCTAACAGACAATGGTGAGCTGAGCAGAGGAAAGTGGTAGGAATCAACCACATCAGGGCTGGGTGGGGGGCTGGGGCATGAAAAACAGGCTTGAACTTGATCTTCAAATGAAGATGTAAGATATCTTACAAAAGCCCGGGAAGCTTTTAAGCAGAAAATTGTCATGATCAGGTTTTCATTTCAGATCGTTTACTCTGCTCTCTATTTAGAGGACAGATTCAAAAAGGTTAAGAAAAACCATTTTGGATATAGTTGCACAAGGAGAAGTTTCCAGAAATATTTGGGGATGGGAGACAGATTACAAAAGTTTAAAGGAGGAATACATGGAAAAAAGATGGAAGTCATCAGCACATTCTGCATGTTCAAGAATTTGGATGGCAAGAAAAAGGAGGAAGGTAGGGAGTGACTTAAGGGAGCAGCAGGTTCTAACAAAGGTTGTTAAGGAAAGAGAGACCCGAGCATGTTAGCAGCAAGGCTGGAGTAATGGGAAGGGGGGCAAGCCTGGAAAGAGTCAGAAGGAAAGGGTTAATGAAGGCGTGGGAGAGCCATCTGTCCATCTATGTAGAAAAAGGAGGCGGGCGCCTGGGTGGTTCATTCTGTTGGGTGTCGGACTTTGGCCTAGGTCATGATCTCGGTGTTCATAGGTTCGAGCCCCACATTGGGCTCTGTGTGGACAGCTCCGAAGCCTGCTTCGGAGCCTTTGTCTCTCTTTCTCTGCCCCTCTCCTGCTTGTGCTCTTTCTCTCTCTGTCAAAAATAAATGAATAAACTTAAAAAAAAAAAAAAAAGAGGCCACTATGCCATGCACCACTCAGACCAAGTAGCAGCTCTCCTGTTCTCACCTTTATCAGTTTCTGGAAATTCTTTCTAAAAAAAAAAAAAATGCCTACAAAAAGGACAAACCCACTTACTGCTCCAGAAAGCTCATAGCCATCGGTCCACAGGTTTCCTGCCCCTATGTTACACTATTGGTAGTGGCAGTGCTGGGGATAAAGCAGGGAGCGAAACTGATGAGGTCCTGCCCTCATGTCACTTCCCTTCTCACGGGAGACAAGACAGTTGTCAGACACGTTACCACGGAACCCCATGTGAGGAAGTGGCACAGGCCCTCAACAAGTGTATAACTGAAGGGAAGGAGGTCTAGAATGACTGAGGGGCACTATTCACATGAGGCGGTCAAAGGAGGGATCTCTGGCCAGACGACATTTTTTCTGAAGCCAGCAGGGCCCAATTCAATGAATGATAAATAGGAAGTCAAGGTTTCAAAAGTCGAGATCCTACAAAACAGCACCTTTCAGGAAAATCAATAAACAAAAGTAGCCTGGTCCAGTTATCAGTTATCCTGACAGTGGTATTTTCTGAATAAAAATCTGGGCTGCAGATCAACTTTCTATTAATCCCAAATGTGACTTGTGTCATTATCCAATACCACTCACTATGGATTTCTGATCCCCCAAACACGCCTACATTTTAGAGACCTGAAGGACAACATTAGTATTATAAGAGTCCGATTTCTGTTCAGATTCCACGGAAAACGCTAAGAGAAAACATCTCTGAGGAAAGCCTGAGATAAACAGTTGGGACGTCTACAATGTTTTAAATCTCCTTGTAATTTAATTTTTCATCAGATGCATGCTCTTCGCCTACAGGCGCTTAGTGCTCCCTAAGCATCATGGGTACAGATCTTGAACAACTCTTCGAAGAGTCCTTCTGCTAGAAGGTCTGGCTGGCTGAAAACACATGGATTATATCATGTGATGGCCACACAACATGGCCAATGAGCAGAACTTTGGGAATATATCCTCCAGAGCAAGGAGAAACTGGGAGTGGTGGAGCTTCTCAGGGAAAATCCCTTATAACTTCCCTAAACGCCCCATTCAGATACTTTGCAATCTCTTTTTTCCTGGTCCATTGTGCTGCCTTTGG